CTAAAAAAAGAAAAAGAACAATAATGGTTACTTCCCCAAATTACCTATCAAGTTGGTGCCAGGCAGATAAGCACCACACTTCTGCTGTAACCAACAAGAACAACACTCTTTTTCCCTTCTTTTAGCTTGATCCTCGTCAAGTCTCGCATCTATATTTTGCTTCACTGATCTCTCTATGAAGCAATTTTCCTTATCGGTGGATCTGCTGCAAAAGACCAACTTTTTCAAAGGAAAAAGATAAAACAGATGTAAAAACTGAAATGGAAATAATCTACAGGTAAAATCTTGTAGAGGGAACTCTCAATTAAATGGAGCACAATTTTTTTGTGTGAATCCATTTTGATTCAAATTTCGTTAATTATTTTTTGAACTAAGTGGGCTTGGGAAGCTTTTATATTATAAAAATGTTCATTTTGCACTAACAGTTTTGTTATAACAGAATGTGAATTTTTGTGTGGAAGACATTTTTTTTTTTCATTCATTTTGAAATGTCCTGATGTACCTTAATTATGTTTCTCTTCATTTATGGTATCTGATCTTTTGAATAAGTTCTTTCTGAAATGTGAAATTTCAAAGAGTACTTTTTTTTCTTGGACTAGAATTAGAGCTTCCATGTTCTCCTCACATCTAGTTCCTTCAGCTCCCTTCCCCAAAAATGCCCTCGGGTGAGGATGAAAAAAATTGTTAAAAAGAAGGGAGTTGCTATTAAAAAGAAGGGAGTTGCTACGCTGGGTGGGGTGATTGATCCTGACTGCCAAGGGGAAACTGGACTATTCTATTCGTCTACAATGGAGGAGAAAAAGAGCATGTCTAAATACGGAGGTCTTAGTTACCATACACAGTGATTAAGGCCAATGGAAAACTACAACAACCTAATCTAAGCAGGACTATAGTGGCCCAGACCCTTCAGGAATAAAGATTTGAGTCACTTCACCAGGTAAAGAACCATGGCCAGATGTGCTTTTTGAAGGCAAAGCGGATACAAAAAGGGTAGAAAAGAAGGTAGTTATAACTACTGGCTATGGACACATGACTAGTTATAGAAATGAGAGCTGTAATTGTCATCAGCATTTCCTCCTTATGTTGTTATTAATATGTTTGTATGTGTGCATTTGAGTATGGCAAATATCTTTGTCTCTTCTCTCTGATTCCCTTATCATGTAACATAAGATGTATAAACTTTATATCATAGTATTTAATATTGTTACTTTTACATCATTTGAGTATTTAAGTTACAGATGTCAAGGAGAGGAGTAAACATCTGTCGAGAACTTTACCTCCTCTTCTGGTGATGAGGTCAGTGCCTTTTTGGTTGCACATATATCATGTTAGATGGAATTATGACCCTCTTATTGTCTACATTTGAAGAGTAAGTATGATTTAAGGAAATGCCAAGTTGACAAGGGAGAGACTTGTGATGTGCCAACTTGACTGGGCCATGTGGTGCCCAGATATTTGGTTAAACATTATTCTGGATATGTCTGTGAAGGTGTTTCTAGATGAGATTAGCATGTGAACAGGTAGACTGAGTAAAGCAGATTGCCCTCCCTCCCCAGTGTGGTGGGCCTCATCCAATAGGCTGAAGGCCTGCATAGAACAAAAAAGTGAAGTAAGATGAAGGTGAGATAAGACTTTGCTCTCTCTGCCTGTCTTCGAGCTGGAACCTAGGTCTTCTCTTGCCTTCAAACTCAGACTTAGACTGGAACTTACACCATCAGTTCTCCTGAGTTTCAGGCCTTTGGACTTGGACTGGAACTATCACTGATTCTCCTGGGTCTCCAGCTGGCTGCCCATGGATTTTTGGGACTTCTTAGCCTCCATAATCATGTGAGTCGATTCCTTATCCTCTCTCTCTCTCTCTAAACACACACACACACACACACACACACACACACACACACATGTCTCTGGAGAATGAAGACTAAGTGTACAGAGAAATCTTCTTAATTCTTTTCAATGGCCAGATTATATCCCTAATGATGAAAGTGCCATAACTGAATCATCCTTATTGATACACAATTATGCCCATCCCTGTGTTTCTGTAATTTCACCAGTGTATCAGTAAATATCTGCACACATACATCTTTGTGTACAAATACTGCTACACCTGAAGACCAAGGAATGTGATTTTTGAATCTTAAAGGTGACAAACGTATATTTGTTCTGTGTATTCTTTGTATGACATCGTGTACCTTAGAATGCAATTACCCAATAAGAAAATGCTGTAATGTATATGTTCTGTACAACGACAGGCATTTTGTAGCTCCTTAATAACTATTTGAAGACAATAATAATTTTCAAAATAGCCAGTCAATTCATGTAACATAACGAGCTAAGTGCCAGTGAGGACATTCTCTTTAAGTGGGTCTCTTGAACTACATAAGCAGAGAGCGTGCTTGCGGCAAGCCAAAGGATTTGGCTATTCTTTACAGGAAGCCCAATGAGTCTCCCTGGGCCTCTTCTTGTAACAAACACCCACTAGAATTATGATTTTGGAATCATTTCCATTGCAAATCCCCTCTTTCCACGCCCCTTTAAAAGGCAGCTGTGATATTTGGCTTCTAACCAAGGCCTGCTGCACCAACAATTCTCTAAATTTTATTTATATTTCATGTGCAGCATGTTCAAACTCTCACTTTCCCAGGTGCCAGATGCTGGTTTGGACACACTCCAGTGGAAAGTGCTTTCCTGTAAAATAATGAAAGTAAAATGCCGAACAAACCTCCTCTTTATATCGGACTTGCACCTAGTTTACCAAAGTTAAGTACTTTAATAATGGCTTCACTATTTTCCCAAGTTTGCAATCCCCCAAATTCCCTCTTCACCTACCTCCACACCAAATCATCCTTTGGCTTCCGTAGGATATAAAAGCTTATAGTCATTTCACATTTCTTCAGTGTTCATCTGAAAATGTTGGAGTATAGGAATCTTTCTGTCTCACATGCTTTCAATGGTGCCTGATATAATCTACCCACACGTATTTAAAATATGATTTAGGTGAGAAGATTAAGCATTAATCCATTTACAGGATTTTTTTTAATCCTCACCTGAGGATATTTTTCCATAGAGTGGGAGGGAAGGGAAGAGAGAGAAACATCAGTGTGAGAAAGACATCGACTGGCTGCCTCCTGCATGACCCCGACCAGGGCTGGGACAAACCACAACCGAGGTTTGTGCCCTTGACCGAAATCAAACCCTGAACTCATTGGTTCGCGGGCTGACACTCTAACCGCTGAGCCTAACCGACCAGGGCCATTTACAGGATTTTAAAAGATATCTAATAACTTAATGTCTGTTTTAATATCTTTAACATGTTTTTCTCAAAAAAGCGATGCTTTCTGTGTTTTACAATAATAATGTCCTTGCAGTGGCACCGAATGTTGGCATGACACTCTAAAAATTAACTCAGAATTTGCCTCTGTGATAGGGTTTCTTCCTGCTTAAAGGCAGTCCTCAATCCAAATAACCTGTTTGGGAAATGAGAAGCAGTATTAGGTAGATACTAAGAAAATGAGTATAATTTTTTTAGAGATTGCCAGTCCACTCTTGGCTTCCATTTTTATCTCTTGCACAGGTTGTATGGTAATATTTCACTGACCTGAAAACCAGTAAAATTCCTTGTTCTATCCCAGGAAAATTGAGAACCTTAGGCATGAAAATTGTACTAAAAGCTTGTGGTTATATTCTGAGGTTTAAATGAACTCTATAAAGTGCACTGTGATTTGCATGAGTGTTAAGCCGCTATAAAAGAACAAAAATTTCTGCTTGGCTGCCAAATTATCTTTCACATAGTATTGGGCTCTGTAGATCTCATTTTCTTTTTCACTATTTCCATTAGATGGCGGTAGATACCCAAGAAATAACTTGGGAAGGACTGACGGGTGGAGGGCGGTAAGAAGAGCATTTTTTCCCTTTTCACTGGGTTGTTGGTAGCTGAGCTGACACACACTGAAGGTCGTAGATTGCGGGTGGGTGTGGCACACATTTGATTTTCTGTGTGTGTGTGGCCGGATGACTTGCCACAGACCACCTGTTTAATCCAGGTTCTCTCTAAGCATAGGGTAGCATCTTGCCAGCTGGCAAAAATAAATAAATAAATAAAAAATTCCCTAGAATATTTTTCAACTATCAATAGACCTGCTATGAGCTATGGAATCATTCAGGAGAGCAGCTAGCATCGATTTAAAGATGCTGAGGCGTCTGTTGCATACATTTGTGGAGATGGAAGACAGCCGCTCGCTGGCGGGGGAATGACTGTGCGCACTGTGGACTGAAATCCCCTAGTGCGACCTGCGATCAACCCGCAAGTATTGTGGATTCCCTCACGTGTGCCTAGTACCAGATCAGAAACTACACAAGAAATGCAAGAGGTGGTGTCCTCCAGTCTTTTTACAGTAGAGAACACAAAACATACACACAGAGAAAGAAGCATCGAGCCAGACCTAGCCTGAGAAAAGGATACTTGTGTCAAGGTGGTAAGTCCTGTAAGCCTTACGAGAGAGAGGTCAGTGGGGTACCAAATGGCTTTTTGTAGGGAGGAAGAAAGGAGGGGGAGGAATAGAAAGGGTAAGAGAACTTGGGTGGGGGGGGGGACCGTAGGAAACTTTGGAGAAGTCCGGAGAGTACTGAGAATTTGGGGGGGAATAAAGAGAGGGGCAAGGCTAAGTCCAGCAGCCTTGGAAAGGCGGGTTCAGCGGACCCTTCTTTCTTCACTTAGGTTCCAGGCATTCCCGCCGGAGTGGAGCATTTCTGGTCAGCTTCCAGGCCAGGGCTGTTCCCCCAACACTTGGCCACGCGGTGGAAGCCGGCGCCCAGTGCCCTTGCGGCTGCTGACCGAGCCAGGGCGGACCGCGCTGCCTGGGACGACCACGGAGGGGGCGTGGCGAAGGCGGGCCGGAGGGGGCGTGGCGTGGGCGGGCCCGTGTGGGCGGGGCTCTCCTCTCGCCGCCGCCGCCGCCGCTGCCGCCTCCGCCCGCCGCGCGGACCGAGGGAGCGGGGTCGCCGCCGCCTGCACGCCCGCTTGCCGGGGCTGCGGTGGGCCAGGATGTCGGGCTTCCTGGAGGAGCTGCTCGGCGAAAAGCTGGTGACGGGCGGCGGCGAGGAAGTGGACGTACACTCTCTGGGCGCCCGCGGCATCTCGCTGCTCGGGCTCTACTTCGGCTGCAGCCTGAGCGCCCCCTGCGCGCAGCTCAGCGCCAGCCTGGCCGCTTTCTACGGCCGCCTGCGGGGGGACGCTGCGGCCGGGCCGGGGGCTGGGGCCGGGCCGGGGGCCGGGGCGGCCGCGGAGCCGGAGCCGCGGCGCCGCCTGGAGATCGTCTTCGTGTCCTCGGACCAGGACCAGCGGCAGTGGCAGGACTTCGTGCGGGACATGCCGTGGCTGGCGCTGCCCTACAAGGAGAAGCACAGGAAGGTGAGCGGCGCGGGCCTCGTCGGCGCCCCCGGCCTGGGTGCACACCCCGCGCGTTCCCGGGAGCCCGGTCCTCGCCGCCCCCCGCCCGCCGATCCACCCCGCTGTCCCTTCTGCCCCTCCTCCATCTTTGCACGCGCTTTCCCTCTTGTCCCTCAGTGTCCCCTTCCTCTCTCAGTTCCTGCCTCCCATCCCGGGACCCCGCCGGGTTGGGGCTCCCGCGGCAACTCCTCGGTGCCTGTGCCAGGCCGCGCCCGAGGGGGAAGTTTGACACCCTTCGGCCCCTCGACCCCGGCTTGCTTCTTGAGGAGTCGAGAGACCTGTCGGCACAAGTTGGGAGCCTCGCGTGGGGGAGGCTGCGCTGGGGGTTCCGATTCCGTGACCCTTGCCGTGGGCCAGAGGTGCCGGGAGAGGCCGCCTGGGTCCCTCAGCCACTGGACTCCTCGCGGATACCTGTAGTGGGTGGGGGAGGGCGCTAGCCCCCTACCCATAATGCCCAAACCAGGAAGTTTCTTTTCTTTTAGAGAGAAATCTGCTTTTTGGGGGACCCCTCCCCCTGGGACCCTGGACCCAGAGGCGGAGGCCAGGCTGCCCTGCGCCTGGGAGAGGCGGCCGCTGACCGTGGCTTTGGGCAAGAAGGGAACTCCTCTCCCATTTGCATTCTCTCTGCACCCCGGGCTGAGCTAGTGGCCACCCGGGAGCTTTTCATTGTCTGGCTGTCTAGGCATCCTCTCCAGATTCCTCCCAGGCACTGGAACAGACCCGTCCTTGCAGATCTTATTTGCTTGGTTGGTGGGCCACTGTCGTCTTGGCATGCTTCGAATTAAATGCTGAACTGATCCCATAGGTGCAGATTGACTGGCAGAACGAGGATTTGGGAAATTTATACTTCGCTGTCAACTTCTCATTCCTCCCAGTTTGCAGCTGAAGTTAGTTTGGGTTTTTGAGTGTATCTGTTGGATGAAGATGTCTGTTTTTAATAAAATGAATTCAGGAAAATTTGTCATGTATTGAAACAAAAAGTTTTGGGGCACTCATTCTTAATTAGTATGCAACATGTGAATTCAGTCCCTTCCGTTTTTGAGGAGAATCTCAATTTGTGGACAGGGGAAGGCCTGTTCTGGGGGCCTTTAGGTTCCTCTAGGGAGGATGGTAACGGCATGCCATGTGTTTCTTTTATAGAATTTTGTTGAGAAGCATGATTTAGATTTAGTGAGAGCAAAAGGCTTATACTGTGACCCCAAATGTCTCCCGTAAATCATCCATCATGAAGCAGTGTAAGGTACAGACTTGGGATTTAAAGTATGAAATACAGTTTAGCAAATACAGTTTGTACATGAACACTGGAAAAACATGGACCCACTAACCACACAGAGGCAAAACTTGGCATTTTAACCACTTTTTAGGTGATTTTGCCCATCTTTGATTTATACGTTTGGTGGTGCATTAATATGAATGGTTAGTCCTTTTTTGTTTTACAATATGGAACGCTTTGTTTTCCTTAGAGGTTGTTTTATAGGCCTTTTGGGGAGGAATAATGTTCAGAAAGTGAGTTACCAAGTAATATTTTCATCATTATGGCAAGTTTCTATTGTAGACCAAAGTCTGTGTAAAATAATGTCTTTATTGGGCAATGCCAGTGATTTCTAGTTTTGCAAACATCCAGTGATGGTAAAATGTGACAGACCTAAGGCCTATTGTGATTTTCACAGTGGGGGAAATAAATTGGCTGGATAGTAAAAATGTGGAGCAAATTGAGATGTTTTGCAAATGCCAGCAGCTTTTTCTCAAAAATGGAGAATATTTGATATGACATAGACATAGACCATGTCTGGTTCCCTATGCCCTGGCCAGTCCCTTTGCATGAAAAAAAGTGGTCTCTGGCCATAGCCTGGACCTTCTAATTCTACCAGGATGAGAGTCTGGAAGACACAAGGCAGACCCTCACTTGAAAATACAGTTCAGAAAGCTGCACATGCCCAAACCATGGTGCATTCGCATTTAACATTTTTATATTTTGCTCAGAGTTTTTCTGTTTACTTTGTTCTCTAAAACAAGTCCAGTTTCTGTTCTTGGATGGTTGTGAATAGGCAACTCAAGATCTTATGCCAGAAGCATTCATATTTGAGGTGATACCACCAGGTAAAAAGACTCCAGCTGTGTTTCTTATGGAAAACATACTCTTGGAAATTACAAAAGCTGTGCACTCACTTTAAAAGGAGTTATTTCCCCCCCTGAAACCAAAGAGATGTAGAACAAATTCCTCTTCTGTAATTTTGAGTTTTTGTCTCCCTTGTTTGAAGTTGGGGTACTTAGAAGTCTGTGAGCTTGTGATGCCAATTCCATGATAAGAACAGTGACAAGTCCAAGGCACCCCCAGTTTAGGGTTCTGGGTGGATGAAAACTTACCTTCTTGTTCATGGACCTTGTCTGTGTTTTACCAACTATAAAAATAGCTTTAAAGAAGAAAACTTTGTTTTACACTGAAGATAAACCGAAGTTCCAGATTACGAATTTTTTAAAGTTCTCATTAACATGGGTTCTTTAAAACCATCCATGTACTTCCCATTGGGATAACAAAGGATATGGTTCTAATTAGTTATTGGCTGGCATTTCTCTAAAGAAAATTGAAAAATTATGGTGGGGGAAGAAAATGCCGTGTGGTATTTCTTTTTTTTCTTCTTTTATTAATTTCCCCTTTTCTGTAGTAAGAAAGCCTGGGGATGACCATATAGGTGAAGCCTTTGTTTTGCCTGGCTCCTCTCACCTTGGTTGGAGCTGTGAGAAAACAGCAAATAAAAGAATTCCAGCATCTTTTAAAACAAATTTCTTGACCGAAGGTCGTCCTGTTTCTACTTGCTTTAGTGGTAGGTGTGAAAGTAATTGAAGCTTTGCTTTTTGGCTTCCAAGCACACACACATAACTAGCTGTATAGCAATTGTAATTAGACGATAATAGAACTTGGAGTGAATTTATAAGAGCAGTTTTGTGAGGAAACATAATCCTGAAGTTAATAAGGCAGGTCGACTTGTTTTAAGTAGGTTTGTTTTTTGTTTTGTTGGTAGACCTTGTTCCTCTTTCTGAAGAGCGAGAATGTGAGGAGTAGTTGGAAAGTGGTGAGGATTTGGACTTTTGAGATTTTTTTTATCTGTCCCATTAGAAGTTATTTAGTTGTCAGAACTGGAGAGTTGATCTCCCGGATCTGCTTCAGCATCACAGAAGAGAGCACTGGTTTTGGTTTTAAAGCCACAGGACTCAGCGTTGCCTGGGCTGGATGCCTGATGGAAAACATTTGATCAGTGTGGGTGTGCTGACATCAAAGGGCACAGGTTTGCTGGGGTCTGGCTCGGTCCTGGAACTTCCTGCCTGACAAAGGGGAAGAGAAAGTCTGACAGGAGAGCAGCAGAGTTAGGGGACTCTGCTCCAGCATCCCTGGTCTACCTGTTGTAGCTAGGATAAGTGGAATCTTCTTTCCACCCTATGTGGGTTGCTTGCTCTTCGTGGTTCTTTTGGTTCAGACTAAGTCAGATGCTTGGCCTAGAATTCACCTAAATCCCTTTGGCTCTTTGGAGGGGGCAAGATTTGGTACTAACCCAAACAGTCTCACAGCTCCATCTCTCCCAACTCTTTCTTCCTTAAATCCAAATACTCGAGCCTCTAAGAGAACAATTTCTACAACACTGACAGACTACTTTTTATCAAGATGGTAAAAGGTAGCAAAAAGCACACCTTTGGGAAAATTGGAGTTTTCTGCCTTCTGCGTAAGGAGCCCGCACCATCCAGGAGAGGCTCCCTCTCTTGACTGTGTTCCCAGGACTTGGGTCCGTCTAATAAAAGACAACAGTCCATTCCTGGCCGGTTTGGCTCAGCAGTTAGAGCGTCAGCCTGTGGTCCAGAGAGACCCGGGTTCGATTCCGGCTACGGGCATGTACCTCGGTTGCAGTTTGTCCCCGGCCCTGGTTGGGTCATGCGAGAGGCAGCCACTCGATGTGTCCCTTTCACATCGATGTTTTTCTCTCTCTCTCTCTCCCTCCCACTTTATCTGAGCAAAAAAATGGAGAAATGTCCTCAGATGAGGATAAAAAAAAAAGACAACAGTCCAATTAAAGTAATAACAATTTTCCTTGAGAGGCCTTTTCGTTTTTCCATTATTTGTATTTTTTAATGTCATTTTTCTTCTCTGCATAATGATGCTGTCTAGTGTAGTGCCTAAAAAGATGGACTCTTGTCAATCTGCCTGAGTTCAGATCCTGGCTCTGCCATTTATAAGCTCTGTGACCTTGTGCAAGTTATCCTCATGTCTGTACCTCAGGTTCCTCATCTATAAAGTGGAGATGGTAATAGCAGCTGCTGCCTAGGACTGCTGTAAAGACTACATGAGATAATGTACACATGCCTGGCAGATAGTATGTGCTCCGTAGGTGCTAGCTATTATTTGTTAACATGTTGTCATGAAGTTTAGTGATTCATGTCATAGCTTGGGCCTTTGGAATATATCACATTATAGAATTGCCAAACTGTTATGAAGTGTGATTTTTAACTTTTCAAACAAATGACTTTTTTTTTTATCCTCACCTGAGGACATGTTTCCATTTTTGTTCAGATAGAGTGGGAGGGAGAGAGAGAGAGAAAGAAACATCGACGTGAAAGGGACACATTGAGTGGCTGCCTCTCATACGACCCCAACCAGGGTCAGGGACAAATCACAACCGAGGCACATGCCCTTGACCAGAATCGAACATGCGACTCATTGGTCCACGGGCTGACGCTCTAACCGCTGAGCCAAACTGGCCAGGACACAAATGACTTTTATAAGCATACAGGGGGATACAGTTAAGCAGTTGAAAGATTTGCCCTCAAAAAGATTATAATTGAGTAGAAAGACCTAGAAGAATGAAACAAAAGCAAATGAATATATACATATATTTTTTTTATCCTCACCCAAGGATATTTTTCCATTTTTTGTACAGATAGAGTGGGAGGGAGAGAGAAGAAGGGAGAGA